TTATCTATCTATCCATATATCAATATATCTATTTATCTATCTATCCATATATCAATATATCTATTTATCTATCTATCTATCTATCTATCTATCTATCTATCTATCTATCTATCTATCTATCTATCTATCTATATATCTATCTATCTATCTAGCTATCTATCTATCTATCTATCTATCTATCTATCTATCTATCTATCTATCTATATATATATCCTCTCTCTCTCTTCATTTTTTCTCTTTCCTCTCTTTCTATACCATGCTCTCTTTCATTATCTCTAACATTTCGTTAATCGATTGCTGGATGTAAACCAGAACACATTTTAGCTACACCCATTGGTGCACTTCCATTAATCTAGCGGGTCGAATTCTATTGACGGATTACATTAACCGATTTGATTATGAGTGTCACGTTTTATTTCATTATAATTTGACAGTTTGTTATACATTAGATACGTGGTGATTGATCGGTTGCCCTGAACTACCTATACATAACTTCGTAACCAGCGACCACGTTTTCGCTGATAGTAAGAGGGAAAAGTTAGAAACCGGATGTATTGATCGCCGACCAACTGCTTTAAGAGCGGTGAGCCTATACACGTTGCCTAGATGCTAGTATAGTAACCGCATCAGGGTGTGTTCTTCTTTTATACGATTACATACTGTTTCATGAAAGTTTATTGGATGCCGTTTGATTATAATTTAGATATAAGTTAGATATATATATATATATATATGTTTGCCACTTGTAGGACTTCAATTAGGTTACTACACAATGTGCGTGTATTCCTAGTATATGTTACGGTTATTAATCTGAGTCGGTTGTAAATATCAAAATTATACCGAATTATCGTTGGTTCATTAGTATGTTAGCTGCTAGAAAATGTTTTAAATTATTTCATCATTATTTGCTAATTGATTTTGCGGTTGGTTTATTACATTAGTATTATCATTACTTAGGCTAAAGAACCTACCGCCGCGCACATTCACCAAAACGCGCCTATACACAGGCGCGCGCACGCGCATTCAACGGTATAAATTAATTAATACATGTCTGATAGCCTGCTCACATGCTGATGGCTGCGCGAACCAAAACACCCCCCCCACACACACACAACACACACACGGCGCGCGCGCGCTGCACGCGACGCCACGCGAATCGGCACACACACAGACACACACACACGCGCGCGCACACACACACACCGCATGAGACACACATGCACACATACACACTCACACACACACACACATCTCACACACACACACACACACACACACACACACACACACACACACACACACACACACACAAAACACACACTGGGATGTATACACCTATGGGTACGGTGCATAACAGATGCACAACAGAAGCATAAACAGATGCAGCATGTCTGCGGAGTGCAAGCGCGTACGCCGCAACATACCTGCTTACATACATGCACAGACGCACGCAGCTTACATGCCTGCACACATGCGCGAACGCACACACATACCTGCCTACACACATACAGGCATACGCCGCCAGAAACGCACACGACATACCTGTCTGCATACTTGCACGAATGCACGCGACAACCCTGTCTACATACACGCATATATGCACGCACCATACCGACTTGCACACATGCATAAACGCAGGCCACATACATGCTTGCATACGTCCACCAACGCACACAAATTACTACCAACATGCAACTACAACATGCTTGCACATACGCATGAACGCACATATTTTAACTGCCAGCATACATGCATGAACGAACATAACATACCTGTCAGCATACATGCACAAACACTTTCAACATTGCCTGTACACACGCACACACGAATGCATATACACAGACCCCCCCCCACCCACACACACATACAGACGCGCGCACACACACATAAAACTATATATCTATATATGCCAGCTCACACGAATAGAGGCATGCATACATAAATGCGAGGCAAAAGTGTCGAGAATCGTTTCGCCTGTGCCTGTTGCTTAAAAGCTGCCCCCAAGCATCTATACTATTAAAGTAAGACATTTCGGCTAAAAATCCTGAAGGGGTGAATGGCTGGGCGTGAAACGTACACCACGTGTCGACAATGATTCCGTATCCTGCCTCTCAACTTTGGAAGAAAAGATAACCTCCGAAAACGTGATTTTGCGAGGGAACCCTAGAAAATCTGTACACAATCTATAAATAGAACGAGAGATATCTGTTGTCCAATCCATCTCCAACGTGTTAATCATGTTCTGTAAACATACCGCCCCAGTGGCCGAATGCATAAAACATCGGACCCCAAAAACATTGATTCGGGGTTCGAATCCCACCTCGGAAAATTCTGTTTCTTTACTTTTGGACTGTTTAGTATGTACTTCTGCCACTTCACCGTTAATTTCAAAATTTAACATTTTTTACTACATTTAAACGTTTAGTAATAATCCATAAACTATGGTACATGATAATAATAGCGCAAACACTTCACGGAAGCCTATGTAGGTTACAGATCAAATATTATTATATTTTTTTATAATTTTATTATTATAATTTTATTTTATTATTTATTATTTTTTACTTTTTTCTTTTAATTTTTTTTATCTTTTGATTTCTTATTATTTTTTATTGTTTGGGATGGGGTGGGATGGGATGGGATGGGATGGGATGGCATGCGATGGCATGCGATGGGATGGGATGGCATGGCATGGAATGCGGTGTGATGGGATGGGATGGGATTGCATGGCATGGCATGGCATGGCATCGGATGTCATTGGATGGCATGGGATGCGATGAGATGGGATGGGATGGGATATGGAATGGGATGCGGTGCGATGGGATGGGATGGGATGGGATGGGATGCGGTGCGATGGGATGGGATGGGATGGCATGGAATGCGATGGATGGATGGATGCATGGATAGATAGATAGTTCGATTTTTTTGGGTATTTTCCTTTCAACCAAGCGGTCACCAACTGAGTAACGCCACTGATTTCCCCGGGTAACGCCGGGTATCCCGCTATAGTGTATAAATAAAGCACACGGTATATAGAAGCTGTAGCAGATATATGCTCGAACGCGCACATGCTTCGCTGTGCGCATGTGTTCGGCGCGTATACATGCACTGATGGGTATAGATGATGCCAAACGGGACTATCCACTCTGTGACACTGGATTTAGAGACGAGGTGAGGGACGCCGAGAGCTGTACTGCTGTATGACCACAGAAAGGGAACATCGGCTATGTACGTGAATGTAAGAGAGTTCAGGCTTTTACGAGCATTGCACAGGATCGTGCCAAGTTTATTTGTACAAAACAAAGGCGTGATAGTTGAGTAAAGTGACATTGACAAGCTGATCTGTTGCACGCGCAGGACAGGTAAGTACAGACAAATACACGTTATATATATATATATATATATTATATATATATAAAGATATATGCTGTGGTGTGGTACTTTAGCTTAGTTTCTTACTTGCAGTTTTCTTCCCCAGCATTATATACGCTCATTGTCTAAAATTATACGCAAAAATATCACTCGCTTCATCACGCTTGGCATGAATTATGGGGCCAGAATTCTCGCGCTTTGAGCGTATTGTGATCCTGCAGGCTGCGCGGATCGGAATTATTCAATTTCCCAAACTGAAGCTCGGCGTATTATCTTCTATAATTTAAGTCTGTCGTAGTTCGTTCATGAATGGTATGGTATGGAAGATGAAATCGATTAGAATTCTCGCTCTAGGAGTGTAGAAGTTTTAATTTGCCACGCGACATAATGCTAAAAAACGATGAACTGAAGTCACAGACAGAGAGGGAGATAGAGGGCAAGCGAGAGAGAGAGAGAGAGAGAGAGAGAGAGAGAGAGAGAGAGAGAGAGAGAGAGAGAGAGAGAGAGAGAGAGAGAGAGAGAGAGAGAGAGAGAGAGAGAGAGAGAGAGAGAGAGAGAGAGAGAGAGAGAGAGAGAGAGAGAGAGAGAGAGCAAGCGCGCGCGAGAAAGAAGAAGGATTTAGTGAGAAAGAGAGGATGGGAGAGAGGGGAAGGAGGAAAGGGAGAGTGAGTTAGCGTTAGAGTAAAGCAGTATTGTGGGGAATCTTATCTTGGCATAATGAAAAACTAGCACATAATTCTGCCGTGGCTTTTTATATAAGTGTAGAAAGGATCGTCACTAAGATATTACAACTTTATATTTAATAACTATCATTGATGAACGTGATGCTTTTGAATGAAGACACCGGGATTTAATAATTATCTGTCTTTTTTCAGAATTATAGGAGGTGAATGGCATATATGTTGAATGCATAGTATAAGAACGCTTAGCTAAGTAAATAAAATGGTCATCACTGTAATCGTGCATACAATTTTTCGAGTTTTTTAGATTTGCTCACAATTTAGGAGTATCCAGGATAATATATTTGCAGATGGTTGCCACTCTCATGTCTTATATCCAGAGCATACACGTCTCGACGTGTATAGTCATACAGGCAGCACCGTGCTCCTTTTAGAGGTGCAATCATGACCCCTATGTCATCGTCCGCAGTATCCGGATATGAGTCAACAAGAATGTCTCCATTTACCTTATTACACCAACTATCTCCGTTTTCATTATTTATTTATTTGATGAAAGTGTGTGGTATCTAAACACTAGTCCGAGACAAATTGAGAACGACTGCGCAGGGTTGACGTAAACAAATACGATGGGAACCCGATCACAACCCGTTAACTTATATGTTGGAGTCTGCGCCGAAGAGTGCTAAACTGTTACGATGGTCGCTGGCCGTGCAGCGGTATAACATCAGCATCCAACACAAGGCAGGGGCGTTACACACGAACGCGGATGCACTGTCGAGGTTAGCGGGATGATGGAGAATCGGGTGGTATTGCGAATTATTATGCGTACGGGTGTCTTAGTTATATACGTATGGTCGTATGAGTGGTTAGTGTTTTGTCTAAGCCATGGTTCTGCTTGTGATTTTTGTTGGCTTGAAAAGTAAGCTCAACAAAAAACCTTTAGGAGGAAGGTGTCAGGTGCGAGGTGTATATCGTTGAACTTCTGTAAAAATAAATTTGTGATGTCCACTCATACACGTTCTACTGGTGCTCATTCTCCTGGTTCGCCTGAGGCAATGTGAGAGCTTACAGTGGCAATACGATAAAGTATTCATACCTGTATTATATCCGCAAACCTTTTTTACAATTTTGAAAGACAAAACAACACAATTTCCGTGTGGTGGTTTCCGCGTCATCATCATACAATCAACAAATATATATTAAAAATTGTTTGTAACCGTAAACAAATAGCTCGAGAGAATTAGTAATGCACAATAATGGAAGATAGAAACATTGCACACTATGTTAGTAATTGCGAAGGGTCCCCCTATAATCTTCCATTACTCGTTTAATATCTTAGGATTAAAATGGTTATTTGTAGTGGAAATTACAACAGGCGTTGGTCAATTTCTTTATATCGTACACAAATGTATTTTTCTCATTAACCGTGTAACAACCTGTTATGAATTATGTTACCGTGCGTAAAAAATCGCTGGTCGGGAAAACGCGTGTGAACAGCGATACGCTACATATATAGACTTACATCCTGGTTGTGTCATTTCGTCTGTTGCTTCGTCGCCTCCTTTCCTCTTTCCGCCTCTCTCTCGCTCTCTCTCTCTCTCTCACACGCTCTCTCTCTCACACGCCCCCCCTCTCTCTCTGTTCCAACTTTCTCTCTTTAGCAAAGGTACCGGTTTCAAACCGTGATGAAGTTTTATAGCTTTTATACAAGCTCAATGACCCATGTTCGGTAACTCGCGGCCTCCTATTGCTCTTTTAGCAAATAGTATAATTAATATATAATGATAATAATATAATATAAATAATCCATGCGATTTCTTCACGTCATCCGTTTGAAAGCGGCGACGCCACCGCAGCAGTATATTTTCTCGCGGAGGGATTCTTCGGTGGTTCGTCACGCGTGCCTGGAACATCACCGCTCGAATTTAATTGAATCGACCTCGTATACAATATTTCGGCGCGGCTAGACGCGCGAGCCACCCTGTCCTGATGCCACCAATCAGTGAGCGATTCGCTAGAGGCCATCGATGCATGTGTGAATATAAACTGGCGCACTGTCATACGCGCGCCATTGCATACTTTATTAGTCACAGATAGATTCCGTTACAGCCGAAAACACAACATGCATGTTCTTCAAGCAACCGCGCGGCGTCTTCCGCATTTACTGGCTTTAGGCCTACTAGTCGGCATAAAAATCTAGGGCGTTTAGTTTAAAGAATTCATATCATCTGCGCCATGATTTTCCTTTTGAATTTTGTACACGAACGCACGCGCGCGTACGCACACATATAGAGACACGCGCAGACACGCGCGCACACACGCACATACGCACAAACGAACAAACACATACACACACACACACACACACACACACAACAACACACACACACACACACACACACACACACACACACACACACACAACAACACACACACACACACACACACACACACACACACACACACACACACACACACAC